CCCCAAAACCCCAAAACCCCAAAACCCCGTGTCGATTATATAGAACTGAACTAAGTTTCTAACTTAATATGACTGAATCTATTATCCTTCAACACTTTCTTAGTATATTCCCCATCAATTTTGCGTCCCTTTGTAATTCAAAGCTTGAGGCTTTTCTTTACATCTCTTGAAGTAGCCAAACCTCTTACTAAATTGTCGAATTCGTGGTTATTCTTTTTTCAATTGCTTCTACAAATCAACTCTCACTCTGTTAAGTGTATTTCCTCAAGTTTAGTCCCTCTGAGAGAGTTCGAGAAGTCAGGGACTTCAGGAATCAACATCTTTCATCTGTAGAGTTTGAATATTTTCAGGTGTTTGAAAGCAGCTAAAATTTTCTTGAGATGTTCTAAATTAATAATGACATCACACAGACTGGTTTTATTTTCATTTTTAGAGCCAACTTTGATAAACTACTGAAAATAGTTAGGAAATGGACTTAATTTGCTTGGAAATAAAACTAGATTCCTCACTTTGGTTGGAAAATAGTTTACAAAGAATTCTAAGACTTGTTTGGAGGTTTCTCTACCTCTCCCAATATAAACACTTTCTTTCATAGAAGGAATAATGCTCTTAATTTTTCTGACAAAGATAAGGCTATCTTTGCCTAATCACCAGAAAAGTAGGCCTTCCTGAACAATAGTGACTCCTCTATAATCTCCAGTTGTTGGCTTAAAAATATTGGCTTTTATCTCTTGCTTTCTCTCAAATATCAAACCTTCTATACCAAAGTTGAATCCTTATGCAACCTTCATCATAAAGTCTTCATTCCCAAACTCCCCTCTCAAACTATCCATTTCGTACAAATTATTCCAAGTGAGAATCCCTCTGTTCCAGCTCCCATAAGCCTAATCCAACAATTTAACTAATCTATTCTAAACCTCAAAAACTTGCATCCCGCTGAAGTGAGCCTAGAGGGCAAACAGCGAAGCTTCACTGATGCTTCTGAAGAGATCTTCGAGGTTTGTTTAGTGAGGCTAGATGCTAATTTACCTTTCTCACGCTTTCAAGGAAGAGCTTTAATCTTAGATTCTTTGTTTGTATAATTAATTTGTAACAAATTTAGCACAAAATGTAGGGTTTAGCAAGTTTTAGTAAATAATAATATAGCACGCTCATAAAGACCAAGTCTGCTAACTTTAGTAAGTTTCATTTCAATAATTATTAAATACTAAGGGGTTTTGGGGTTTTGGGGTTTTGGGG